CCACATGACTGGCAGGACCCAGTGCAGGACGGGCAGGCAGCCTGTGCTCAGAACCACTGTGGAGGCCACGGTGCAGCCTCTGCGGAGCACAGCCCTGGCTGCAGCAGGGGCCTCGGAGGCCCACGTGTGCGAAAGATTGGCAGGAAACCAGGACTCTTAATCAGATTTATTTTCCTCTAATAAGACAGTTTAACATGTCAAAGTTTTGCATTCTACAGTCTTACAAACTTTAGTTATTAGCATCGGAAACACAAAAACATTGCAAGACCTCAGAACAGAAATAAATACCAAATAAAACCACACAAAATATACAGTAAACAAAAATATAGAACATAATAATGCTATCGGGAAACCAGACATGTTGCTAACTCCTAACAACAGGATTATTGCTGAGCAATAACTCATACCGTTTCTTAGAAGAGCAGAGGACACGGGAGTGATCACTGGTCACAATCACTTGGACTATCAAGAGGGTCCTCACAGTGAGCGTACTACAGACGGCGAGTTTTAAAACAGGCAGATTAAAAATACGGAGTCAAATGAGAGACTGGCCTTCTTTGGTCTTTGTTTCTGGGTAAGAACTGAACACAAGAGGTGGACCACCAGGAACTGACGCATCCTACCAACAGTCCAGCTGTCTCCGTCGGCTTCCACGCTCCCTCGCCGCGGAGGTTCTCCTAGAGACTGCTTAYGGAAATCCTTGGAAATAAGGCCGTATTTTATGTTTTTCCAATTAAGTCATTTAGTTTGCTGCTAAAGGTCATCTTACTTGTCTAAGGGGACTAAGTCATAAAACCACTCACCACTGTTGACAGGAGTGGCACAGCGCTCCTGGACTTGAACCTTTTTCACACGAGCTCACAAGACAGAAATCGACTCAGGGGAAATGAGACACAGCTCTGCTGGCCACTCGGGCCTCCTCAACCACACGACCACCAGCCAYAATGTGGGGTGCTGTCTTGCCCGTCTGCCCGGCAGTGGTGTCTGGGCACACCTCTGCAAGTGGAAGACACCCCTGACCTGTTTCCTGGCCTCTGGGACGGGCTGCTGGCCTGGCCTATCCGGGTCCCTGCTGGCCCGGCTCTCCACTGACTCAGTGCCTGATGACAACCAGCACCAGCCACGCCAAACCAGGAATGCTGACCAGGTCACCCACTGACACCAACTGCACCTGAGCAGGCCCTCGTGGGCTCACGACACCAACTTCTGAGAAAACAGAGCSGATGAAATTTGCCAACAGAAGACAGGACTGTGGTCTTGGGCCAAGAGATAGACCTGGGTGACAGACCCTCCTCGTTTCACACACCCAGATGCACAGGTGCACTGAGAACTCCCGAGCACACCTTCTGAGCCTGGTCAGGGAAGATCTGGACTCGAGAAAAGAATGGCATTYCAACCTCCACACAGGCCCTTTCCAACGAGCAAGTGACCCAAGCAGAGGGATGTCTGTCTGGGAGGGTGGGGACTGGGCAAGGGGCACCCAGGGGAGTCTGTGCTCCTAGATAGCATGCTGCCACCCTGCCTGGCCAGAAGCGTCTTGGCTGGGCACACTATGACGGTCCCGTGCCACTTCGCGAGGCACGGGGGAGAAAGGAGGTGTGGCCTGGCTGTGGGTCTGTGGGCCACCTTCTTCCCCGGGCCCTGCTGTGGTGGGCCTCCAGCACCCTCTCCTTTGCTGGGTACTGTTCAGTGCTATGGGGCTGCTGGGCCTGACTGGGCAACTACTTCACAGAGGATGCCGAACAAAGGGGTGACATCAGTGACGACCCCAAGGTGGCAGCATTTACCAGGATGCGTGGTCCAGCCCTGGGTGACTTAGGTGATCTGGGGAGGTGGCTGGCTTCCCCGTGGACTGTGCCTGACGTCCATGTCCTCACCAAGGCTGGCCACATGTGGTCAAGGGGAAGCCAAATCGGCAGGGTTCCAGATGGGCAGTGGATCTGCAGGCCCTGGTAGAGGCTGCACAGAGAGCGGGGGCCACAGCACTCCCCACCAAGGCTCCCTGGGGCAACAGGCCAAGGCAGAAACAGGGGCTGGGCAGAGCCACAGAGGGAGGCAAGGAGACACCCCGAGCAACTGCCCCTGTTGGCTGGCGGGGGGTGTTGGGATGTAGTATAAAGAGAGTTCCATGCTGTCTGCTCGGGGGCTCCAGGAGGGACAGGGATCAGAACTCAGATGGGGCCCCCTCTACAGCCCTCTGCCCACCTCTGCTTCTGCATTGGGAGCACATCCAGGTCCTAACCCAGGGCTCCTGGGACGTGTGTGGGGGCAGGATAGGGAGCTGCCTTCTTGCGGGGACCCACTGCCGTCCCTAGGAGCCCGGACACTGGAAAGCCCGGCTCTCTGGGGCCAGTCCAGCCCACGCAGGGCCGGGTCTGTTAGTCCTAACCCCACACCCCGGCTCCCTGACCCACCCACCTTGCTGCCAAGGCCTCACCAGCCAGCCTCAGCCTGGCCCTGCACCGTCTTGGGCATTCTGACTCTCCGGCTGCCCACGTTCCCGACTACCAGGGGGCCCAGGCCCAGGCCCAGGCCCAGGCCCAGGCCCAGGCCCAGGCGTGTCTAACTAGCTCGGCCCCAGCAGCCCCTGTGGCAGGAGTGGTGGGAGCAACATGCTGAACCATGGGGAGCAGAAACAGGAAGGCGCACCCATGTCCCTCACAGAGGTGACAGCAGAAAAGACTCAGAGTGCTGCTTCAGAGGGCTGGACGGCTCTGTCCTGTGGGGACTTTTGTTACTTTTGGTAAATGGGAAGAGCACACCCAGACACACACAGTGTATGGACCACCCTTTGCTTCTTGTGGCTGGGCCCTGTGAAGCAGAGAGAGCAGGCCAGGGCCCGATGGACAGCCAGGTCTCAGGCACAGGGACCACAGCCCGAGGATGGCCCGAGCGGCAGCACCGACTGGGGCACCAAGGAGTGCGATGGAGCAGCGCCCGGGGACAGCATGACAGCGGGTCCAGTGCCCAAAGGCATGGGCTCCCCAGACTTCCACGCTGCATCACCAAACCACAAGCAGGAGMCCAACCTGCCTCGCCTCACCCTAAAGGACCCTGCAGTCACTCCAGTCACACTCTGTAGGCGCCTGGGGGAAGAGGGAAGGACCTGGGACACATCCCACCAATAAGCTCCCAAGAGTCCCTGCAGGGTCTCACCCAAACCAGGGTTTCTAAGAAGGGGAAGAGGCTTCTCTCATGGCCACGCGGCTCACCCTGATCTGCGGTGGTGCGCATGCTTCCCGGGAACGGGAAGGAAGCCACAGGGACGTCCCTGCACTGCCACCCGGCTGTGGGAAAGCCACTGAGGGCTGGTGGGGCCTGCCAGGTGCTCYTCTCCCCTCCACACCCAGTGGACAGGCCTAGAGGAGGTCAGGGACACCTTCGAGGGAACAGCGGGCTCCACAGTTCCTGCAAGAAATCCTTCTGCTGRGCAGGGATGGTGGCTCCTCCCTGGGGCACAACCAAGGACACTGATCTACCCAGAGCATCCCAGGAGTGGAGCAAGGAGTGGCAGATGGAGGAACCAGTGTCTTAGCCGTGGAAGGGCATGGCAGGCGCTTGGAACCAAGCAGGTGGCTTATGGGAGCACAGGGACGGGTGTGCGGGAGGGCACTTCCAGCAGGCACTGGGGCAAAGGCACACCCAGGACAGATGGCAGCACCAGAGACGAGGTGGGCGCCAGGCACCAACCAGCCGTCCCTGCACGACCGTGGGGAGAGCCCAGAGGCAGGCAGTCTAAGTGCGCGGCCCAGCTGGCCAATTGTGGGCGCGTCTTTTGGGCGAGTAGCACAGATGTGGTGGCCCGCACACATTGGTTCTGCCTAAGAAGCACCCGTCGCGTGTAGCACCCATCAGTGTAAGAGCACCGTGAAGCGTGGTGCATAGCAAAGGGGCACGGGGCGGGGCTCCAGGCTCTAATCACAGTTGGTAAACAGTGAGCTGGGAGTGCTGCTCAGGCAGGGGCAGGCTTGGGAAGCAGCCCGGGCGACCTTCCCATCAGGGTGGTGGCTTGGTGCCGCTGGCAGTCGGCCTGGGCAGACCCCAGAGCAGCGGTCTCTGGAAAGCTCAGAGGGCTCTGCTCTGAGCTGTGTGGGCCCCAGGCCTGGGGGGGGGGGGTGTACAGGGAGAGGCGCAGCTTCTGCTCCAGCCTGCCTGCTCAGGGAGGGCAGGGCAGGCTGCGGCCTGGAGTCTGGAATCTGGGACAGCTAAGCAGTGGAAGTTCCGGAAGCCACTGATGAGCCTGGCTTCCCTGGCAAGCACAGGGGGTTGAGAGCCTGTAGACAGAGACCTAGCGGTGGAGAGATACGTCTGGTCAGACCATCACGTTCTAGAACCATGCCGGACACAACCCAGGGTGGAGAAGCAGCACGTCACATCTAAGGCACATGTACCGTATGCCACCATCTCTGAGCAAAGGCGTTGCTTTCGGAGATCACTCACCGAGCGCAGCAGTGTGACAAGACGAAGGACACCTGCGAGGGCCTCCTGCAGCACAGCCACCTGCCCACCCCCGACGCGACGCTGGAGACAAGGCGGCGCTGTCAGCAATGGAGAGCTTGTCTGAACCGGGGCAGAATCTCAAAAGCCTACAGGATTTTGTTTAGAACTCCAAAGTTCAACTAATGCCCTATTTTAGGGTGAAAACAATTATAAATCTGAAAATGATGCACAGCATCCATGAGCAATGTTCCTTTCATAGTAATTTTGAAGTAGTGTCATTAACTACGACAGATATTGAAGGTTTACATTTCTAACGAGAAATAGCAACAGATTGAATGTTCTCTTTCCTATCACAAGTGATAACCAGTGTTAGTTTACATTTTCTTCCAAGAAATATCAGTCTATCCACGTTTTAAAATAAAAGGTTTGCAGTAACAATTATTTGTAGAACTTTAAATTAAAAAATGATTTTAGAATTTAGAGACTCTAAAAAAAAGACCTAGCACTTCAGGGTCTTCTGACAAACAAAWTATTAGAACAGAGACCAGATGAGGCCTTAAAAATAGACAATATACTGTATTTGAAACAAGATTGCACTCTTGACTTTCAGGGTGAATATATCAGAACTGCATTATCATTTCATAAATTCCCCTTTTGCTGCTCATGCCGACAGGTCCAGCTGTCTCCACGTGCGTTTCCTCTTTTGGGTGTTCAAGTTTACGGAAGAGAAATGTTTCTTTTGTTAGCATATGTTTTCCACCTTACTTAACTAGATCTTTAAAAATGAAAATGAAACCCTCCTCTGACAGCAATATTTATCTCATTGAAGGATAAATAACTCTTCAGAGTGGAGTGTGGCTAGTCTGTTAGAAAACGCTGGAGTGTGTTCACGTGTGGTTCCTCCCGCCAGCCGTGCGTCCGCCTCCTGCTGCTTCCTGCGTCCCACCAGGTCCTTTTCTGAGTGCGAGGACCTCAGTGAGGACAGACTGGTTCAAAGCCCCCAGAGGAGTTACCTTCTGCTAAATCCACCTCCCCAGGTACTCATCAGGGGTCAGGCAGATCCGAAGTATCCACTATGACTTTAATAAAAATCGTATCATCTTTAATATACGTCCCGTTTTCTAGAACAGTTTGGGCCACGAAGACAGGGCAGCCAGAGGCAATATTCATCTCTCCGGTGGGCTTCTTGAAGCTGCTGCTGTTGGGGTCGGGCTTGAACGCATCTCCTAGATGGCGCCGAGAGGACCCCTGATCCATCAACATGAGCGTCACTTTCTGCTTAAATGGCCACGGCAGCAAAGCATCGTACTCTCCACGCATAATGACAAAAAACAGCGACAAGTGCGTCCCCTTCCCCATCCCATCTCCGTTCAGGTAGACCCTGGCACACATCTTATAGCCAAAATAGCCTGTGTAGAAGGGCTGGCTGTAGAGAGACAGGGTCTTCCCCATGACAGCCTCCTGCTTCCGGCGCTTGTAGTCCCGGATCTTCCAGATGAGCACGCCATTGTAGCTGGCRGTCTCCAGGACCTGGAACCGCAGGTCCATGTCAGCCAGGCGGATGTCATGCACGCTCAGCATCTGGTCATGCCGGCTCAGCTGGGACTCCAGCAAGCCTGCTCGGGCCATGTGGGGACGAGACAGAGTATCAGGGGTCAGAGGCGACATCTAACCAACAATGGCTACATAAAAAAGGGGCACACACAGGGGATGTCCCTGGACGTCTGGAAGGGCTCCACCCACCCCCAGTCGTCCCAGCAGATGAACTGTCAGGCGGAAGTGGGAGTGAAGATGGGAGCCYAGGAAGGTGGCAGCCCCCAGTAGATGACCTAGGGCCTGCATGTCACAGGCACCTCACTGCAGGTCAATGGTGAAGCCATCTTACTCGGACACTGCCTCCTTGCAGAAAGGCGCCCATGAAGGCAGGTGATGGCCACCTACCTGCCCACTAGCCAGAGGCCAACAGGGTCTGCACTCTTTCTGGATCTGAGCGGCTCCCTCCACTCCAATCCTATGTGCACCATGATAACCCCATTCCTTCCCACCATTAATCTTCATGCAAACAGTCACAGTCCTCATTCAGGCCCAAGGCCACAGGCCACACATTTACTCAGGAGTGTCAGAAATGTTCGGGCTGGGTGTGCTGAGCCTCCAGTGTGTGGCTTCCGCTCCTGTCCCAGGCTTTCAGGAATGCAAGGTAGGCACACAAATGGCCTGGAGCACCCTGCCCAGCAGGCCTGGGCCTCCCTGTGGTGCCAGCCTCTCARGGAGAGCTCTGCACTCTGTCACACTGGGCCTGGCACAGAGGGACAGGTCTAAGTGGGAAGTACCTGTCGCTACTAGAGGAATCTCCACAGGAAACTTCTCTTGCCTCCACACATGCGTCCTCTGTAACCCGAGGAGCTGGAGGCAGCAGGTGCCAGCCAGGCCCAGCCCTCACCCCAAGCAGCTTAGGCCCCGGCCCAGCCCCTCACCTGTGTTTCGAGCTGCCTGCCCCGCACTCTTGTCCACACTCTCCAGCTCGGTCACGCGGTTCTGAAGGGACTCCACGCTGCTCTTCATGCTGTCGGCCTCCTCCCAGTTCTGTCGGAAGGGACGGATCTCCTTGTCCAGCTCCTTCAGTTTCTCCGCCTGGCTGTCTATCACTCGCTTCCAGACCAAGGATGGGAAAAGGCAAACAACAGTCACAACTCACAGGACGCGCCTTGTGAYAGCAGACGCGCACAGTGTCCTCTGCGTGCAGCACGCACCACCAGGGGAAGTCAGGAAGAGCGGTGAGGGCAGGTGGTCAGTGAATGGGGAKTCTTCCCAGAGGCTGTGTACTCTGGCCTGCCTTGCTCACAGTGGCCACTGTCCCCTCCAGGCCAGGCCTCAGTGGCCCCCCAGCTCTGTGCTGAGACCCCCGGATATGAGCCTGCCTGTATTCTCACCCGCTTCCCACAGGCCAGCAGCACCTCCATGCACTGGCCAGGCCGCCAGGGTCACTCACCTGCACCCACACGTAGCCAGGGTCTCATGTGCCTAGAGGCCCTGCTCCCAAGAGGCCTCAGGTTTGGGARAGTGGAGTCATGCCTGTGTGGCCCCATCTTTCATTTGTGTGTCTATTCTGCTACCCGGTCCAGGACACATGTGCCACCCTGTTTCCGTGGCTACAGATGCAACTTCAGAACTGCATGTGGGTCCTGGGAGGRAGGACCACCCAGGACCCCTAGGACCTCCCCCAGAGAGCTAGCCGCTCTGCTCAGGGCTGGCAACAGAACAGGCCAGCAGTGGGCCTCAGGTCCAGGGCGAAGCCAAGGGGGCAGCGCCTATGAGAGGTCTCCTCCTCCACCTGCTTCACACTGGGGACGGGGCGGGGCGGGGCGCAGAGCCTGCCTACAGACACCAGCTGCCTGGGCCTGAGCTCATGCTGTCTTAAGTACCTCAGAAAACCCTGCTCCAGAAGCAGACCGCTCTACAGTGGTCATGGGAGGGATAGGAATCCTGGTCCAGCTGTGGTGGCCCAGGGTTTTAAAGGAGTGTTTACTTGTTAATTGGAGCCAGAGACTGAAAGGTTCCGCTTTTGAAAAGCACTTGCATTTTGAAGCCAGCTCAGGGAGGCTGGGCCCTGGCCCACAACTTCCCTTTTCCTTTTGGAAGTCTATTTCTGAAACTCCAGGTTTCAGCACCTTTGACAGCCATGTCACCAGCCTTTAAGGAACAAGTGTGGCAGGTCTGGGGTACCTTTCTGGGGTGCTGTTCTTCCTGCTCCTTCCAAGAAACCTGGTATTAGCTGACATTTATAATAGTGAGAATGGTGTCTCTAAAAAACACCCCTTGTTAGGTCGATGTCACTTTAAACAAGTACCTATGGCCAAAGTAACAGTTAATTAGTTCAGGAGGTCTGTTTTTCTGGGACCAATCTATTGACATTAATGAATGGCCACACACTTGGRATGAATAATGGTTCTCACACTTGGGATGGATGAGAGCTCTTGTGCATTCTTCCTACTGCTAATAAACTAAGCTCGTGTGGATACTGATGAGACACAGACCTAACACAGCCTGAGTGACACTGTTCTGTAACTTAGTGCACTTAGGAGGGAACCCTGAGTTGCAGGATGGCCTGGGACAAGCCACTTGTCCCTTTAAGCCTCATGCTTCTAAGCTGCTTCAACCTCAAACTGGTGCCCTTCAGGGGGTAGTGGCAGGAGGGTCCCTGATACTGTCCGATGCCAGGCCTGATCTCAAGAAGGGGACTGTGGGGTTTGACTGTGGGACATCCTGTCAGCAGTGAGGCTCCCCACACAGCAGGGGACACTGATCCAGAGCGTGGGGCACCCGTGTTGGGGCAGGAGAAGGGCAYCCGTGCTGTGCACACACATGGTCCACACGAGCAAGGCTCAACCAAGTAACCTAGGCATTTCCACATCCAAAGGGAAAATGTTCTGTTTTTAAGTCAGAACTTTCATTTTTTAATTGGCACAGTCTCAAAGCAGAACTCAGATCTAAATCAAGTTTTCTCTATAGAACACAGCAAAGCMAAGAGACTTCGCTCTTTAAGCACCGTGGTCCACAATCAGCTACTGCAGTGTTTTTATAAATACAAATCTTAAATGCATATGTGAAATTTCATTGGAGGAAGAGTACAGAGCCGGCACAGTGGCACAYGCCTATAATCCCAGCGGCTCATGAGGCTGAGGCAGGAGGATCACAAGTTCAAAGCCAGTTTCAGCAATAGCAAGGTGCTAAGAAACTCAGTGAGACCCTGTCTCTAAATAAAACACMAAATAGGGCTGGGGATGTGGTTCAGGTCAGTGCCCCTTAGTTCAATCCCTGGTGCCCTGCCCACCAACAACAACAACAAAAAAAAGAACAAGAGCGCAGAAGCTGAGATAAGTAGTGTGGCTGCACAATCCATGGACAAGCTTTCAAAGACTTGCTGACCAGCTCCATGCACACACATTTTGGGGCTGCAGCCACTGTTCCTGGCTGTCCTTCTTATTCTAGGTCACTGGGACCTGAGAACATGACCCTGCACAGAGACACAGCATGGTGATGCCCAAGTGCTCAACTGAGCTGTGGACTGGGCATGGTCAGTGCTGGCTTGGGCCCTGCTGATCCACTGGCTTTAAGAACCACAAGTTGAGTGCCACGGGCAGCCAGAGGGCATGGTCAGGCTCACATGTCCATAGTCATCTCTTCTGAAGACAGGGTTGCTCACTATGTTGCTCAGGTTGGCTTCGAACTCCTGGGATGAAGCAATCCATCTGTCTCAGCCTCCCAAGTAGATGGGATTTAAGAAAAATAGGCTCTAGGGCTGGGGCTATAGCTCAGGGGCAGAGCTCTTACCTGGCATGTGTGAGGCACTGGGTTCGATCCTTAGCACCACATAAAAATACATAAAATAGGGTTGGGGATATAGCTCAGTTGGTAGACTGCTTGCCTTGCATGCACAAAGCCCTGGGTTCAATCTCCAGCAACCCGCCCCCAAAATAAATAAATAAATAAATAAATAAATAAATAAATAAATAAATCACGCTGTCCCTATAACTACAAAAAAATGTTTAAAAAGAAAAATGGCTCTTTACATTCCTGTTAAGAAACACCTTCTTGGTATACCCAAAGGACCAAAAAACAGCATACTATAGGGACACAGCCACATCAATGTTTATAGCAGTACAATTCACAATAGCTAAACCATGGAGCCAACCTAGATRTCCTTCAGTGGATGAATGAATAAAAAAAAATGTGGCATTTATACACAATGGAATATTACTGAGCAATAAAAAGAACAAAATCATGGCATTTGTAGGTAAATGGATGGCGTTAGAGAAGATTATGCTAAGTGAAGTTAGCCAATCCCAAGAAAACAAATGCCGAAAGTTTTCTCTGATATAAGGGGGTGACTCAAAGTGGGGTAGGGAGGGAGAGCATGGGAAAAAGATTATTTCTAGATAGGGAAGAGGGGTGAGAGGGAAAAGGAGGGAGAAGGGAAATAGCAAGGATGGGGGAATTTGATGGTCATCATTATACAAAATACATGTACTAAGATGTGAATTTGGTGTCAACATACCTTATATACAAACAGAGACATGAAAAATTGTGGTATATGAATGTATTAAGAATTTTAAGGCCAAAAAAAGAAGAGTATGTGTATAATGGCATAATTTTGTCATGGACATACTTATATACAGTTACCAAAAAAAAAAAAAAAAAAAAAAAAGAGCTAGTGGGTGACTGTGGAGACAGATAATTTCAGTTCTTCTACTTTCTGACTGTGTGACCTTGGTAAAGTCTCCTAACATCTTATGATGTAATTACTTCACCCATAAATAAAAGAATAATAGTACAAAAAAAAAAAAGACTTTTGTGTGTTAAATGTGTACTCTTTCTATGCATAGAATCTTTCATTTGAAAAATGTTACTTTCATTTGACCAACATTGAAGAAAATCCATACTCATATAATTTTTTATATGCAATAAATCATATGTTTCTATCTAATAAGTCTATGAGATTAAGAAGACAATTTTCCAATAAAGTAATAACCAAAAATAAACAAACAAATAAAAGAAACACCTTCTTGGCACCAGGCATAGTGTTGGTGCACACCTGTAATCCCAGCAGGTCAGGAGGCTGAGGCAGGAAGATTCAAGTTCAAAGCCAGCCTCAGCAAGTTAGCGAGACCTTGCCTTAAAAAAAGAAAAAAGGTGGTGGGGGGGGCGGCTGGGGACTTAGTGGTAGAGCACCCCTTGGTTCAATACCTAGTACCAATAAAACAAAACCAAACCTGTCATACCTTCCTAGACCAGCAAAAGCACACACACTCTTCACTTCCACTCTGTAACACCTCAGCCTGCGTCCCTGTCCCCACAGCCTAGAAATGAGGCCCTGGACTCCATCTGCACACYTACCGTCTTTGGATAATCAGACAAGAAAAGTGATGATACAGAGTGAGGGGGACTGCGGTCACCAAGGGGGTCAGGGCTGAGGAACCCTGAGGAAGGCAGGGGAGAGGTGGAATTGACACTGGCATGGGAGGTGTTGGAGGAAGTGCTGGAGTAGACCAGGGAAGGCAGGTGGGCAGAGTGGCTCCCCCAGGTGGGTGTGGAGCCTCTCAAGGTGCGACCAGAAGGGGACTTGCACTAACAAGCGTGGGACAAAGTTGGAGGTGGTCAGTCACGTGAGTGCAGGGCCCAGTGAAGAGCTTAAGGTAACTGTGCTGGGACAGCCAGAGGGTGGGGGGTCTGGAGATGCAGGCRATCAGCTGTGTCCATGCCCCTGGGCACTTGGGGTCATGTGTGTCTTGGAGGCAGGCAGAGGCCAGAGCAGCCCTCCCATCACCAGACGGAGCTGCCAGACCCACAGGGATTCTGCAGGCAGGACTTCACCTGGCACAGCGCTGGTGGCTGCTGACCTGGGTGATGCTGGCTAATGGCAGTCACCTGTGGGAACCTGTGCCTTCTTGCCCCTTGTTCCTGTGTCTGAGGGAATTSTGGGTGCTGGGTCTACTCAGAGTCCTTTCTTCAAATATGATCTTGCCTCCCTGTGCTTCTCTCTCCACAGAGAAGAGAGCTGGCCCACTCACTAAAGGTCCAGACAACGCAGACAGCTGCTGTCCCTCCATCTTTACTTCTGGGTGCCACCTACCCCCATCTTTTTGACCTACAACCTGTTGATTTATTCAATTACAAAGTAATTGTAAAACAGCATTAAAAGTACAKTAAGTAAAAACCTCTCCAGTTGGAAGAGGCAGACCTGAACAAAGAGGCCTGAGTCCGCAGGCAGGGTAGACTTGCTGCARGTGGTGAAGTCCTGCGTGACTTCTCTCTCTGCCTGGACACTGCCTCAAGTGACTCTCCAACGTAACATCCCAGACCAAGTACAACAACTACACTGCCAACAGCTGGGCCTGCTCCCCAGGCAGTGCAGGTGAGGGTGGCCAAGTCCCTGTGGCTGTGGCTCCACCAGCCACTTGGACAGTCCTGCCAACAGCCCACATTAGTGGGTGCTTGGCAAAGTGCAGGCCCACCCAGGGTTTTGCCAGTCTGGTCAGACGCTGTCCTGTTCTGCTCAACTCAGCACTCACACCCAGCACCTCTGTGAAGGCCACCTAGTATTCCACTGTGCCTTGACCTTGTCTCCCAGGGCAACTGCAAAGTTCAATACAATTATAATAAATTTAATAAATCCCCAAATCACTCATGGGACTATGATTAATCTCCAGCGTCAAATGGGAGGATAGTCATTCCCAGCAATGCCATGACTTGGTATTCTTAGAAATATTTCCTTTTCCTTGGAATTTAAGGAAATACATTTTCCTACAAGCACTAAAACTACTCCAGCAACATGAGCCATTCCTCTGGGCCCGTGTGATACGAGTCTTACTACAGCACATGGATGCTGTAAGTGGTGTGCAGAGCTAAGTGCAGGGGCTCAGCCTGGGATCCCAGTGGCTCAGGAGGCTGAGGTAGGAAGATCCCAAGTTTGAGTCCAGCTTGGCAACTTAGAGAGGGCCTAAGCAACTTAGATTCTGTCTCAAAATAAAAAACACAAAAGGCTGTGGATATGGGGTCAGTGGTAGAGCATTCCTGGATTCAATCTCCAGTCCAATTAAAAAAAAAAAAAGTCACGCGCAGAGAATATCTAAAGGGTGATCTGTTTACGAGTGAGTACCTAGCATTTTCATCAGGCTCATTTATACAGTCACTTGGTTCAGAGCGCAAGGGGTTATCTGTTGTTTTGGGGGTACCCCAGGATTACTGTGATGAAGTAAAGTCAGATAAGTATATGTTGCTAGAAAACTTGGAACAAAGATGTTTGGCTTGTTTCACTCTAGGAAGTGAAAATGCATGCAGGACTCATAAATGATATGAAATCTTAATAGTAATAAAAATGGCTAACTTTTGTAGTGTTAGGATCAAATCCAAGGCCTTGCCCAGAGTGTGTGGGCACTCTACCCCTGAGCTACACCCAAGCCAAAACATTTAGAACACAGGTGTTAAGTCTTGCTTTACCCGGAGTGGATTAAAGGCACAGAAGAGAAGCATCAGGCCAGCTCCCAGGGCTGGACCCCACGCTGATGCAGGAGCCCTCCCTGAGTCTTTACCTGAGCAAGAGAAACTTTGGCATTTTCTGTTTTGTCTCACTTCKCTTAAGCAGAGGCTTAAGGCTGGGATCTCAGCCCACACTGAGAAACCCAAAGAAAAACACAGACTGCTCCCCTGCCCTCTTGTCTGGTCAATCTAGTCACTTACCTGTAAATGAAGTATTTTGGATTCATTATTCCGAAGCATTTCCTTTTGTCTCTCAATTTCAATTTCAAAGCTACATATCTGATTGTGCAAACTTTGTATGCTCTTGTTTTTTTCTACGCTTTCATTCTGCAGCAAGGAAACCTGAAAAAGAATTTCTTCAATTAATGTAACAAAAAGTGGTTTGGACACTAATTAACAACAGTGATAATGAAGGTAATTAACTTTTCACAGTACAGGCCTTCTACTGGTGCACTGAAAGGAGTTCCAGGAGAACAAATCCCTCCACACAAAAGATGTGAGTGCAGGGAGCTGTGTGGGGACCCTTCCCCACCAGTAAGGGTGGGGCGCAGTGCAGCAGAGCGCTGGATCCAGAGTTAATAGGGTGGCTTTTGAGGATCTGTCAGAAACCACTAGCCTTTCACCAGAGCAGCTTTTAAAACTGGACCAGGAAACACAGTAAGAAACAGTCTTACATTTTGCCCATTTGCACCAATACTATGTRTGCACACCTGAAAAACGGGTTTCACAAAACCAGCCTTGCCTGAACAATCTATAACGCGGGGCTGGGGCTATAGCCCAGAGGCAGTGCTCCCCTAGCACGTGTGAGGCTCTGAGTCTGAATCGCAGCACCACATAAAAAAATAAAGGTATTGATAACWACAGCTAAAAAATAAATATTAAAATAAATAAGTAAAACAAAGGTATTGTGTCCAACTACAATTAAAAAAAAAAAAAAAAGGATCTATAATGCACCTTGGCATTTTCTGTTTTGTCTCACTTCACTTCAGGCTGCCCCCAAGGGCATCATGCTGAGTGAGACCCACTCCATGTGGAGCCTGGAAGACTGAAAGGGCAGGAGGTGCTGGTCACAGGCTCAGTTCCAGGAGGAAGAGCACCTGAGAGGCTGACCGTGGGACCAGGACACACACACTCCAGGACAGCTAGCAGAGCAGACTCCACGTTCATTCCACAAGAATCCAGGGACGTGACGGACGTGCTGACTGGCTGGTGTGGCCGTCCCTAGGTACACACTGCACCCCACAGCAGTACCTTAGAGGTACCCATGGGCCACTCCTGCACTCTGGACGCCCCAACGMGATGAGAATGAAAAGCCACACAGGCAGGGCGTCCACTCACCACAGACCAACTCACTAACCCAAAGAGAGCAGGCACAGAACCATCAGTCACCCACCACAGTCACAGGAGGGGCAGCAGGGCCAGCATCTCCAAGTCTACCTGTGACCTCTTCAAAATCTCTCTAAAGAACAATTAGAACTGCCCAAAGGCGAAGTTTATACCTGGTCTCAATAGGCCCTGAGATGAGGGGTCTATGAGGACAGCTCCCACAGGTTTCTCCACAAAGGGCACCCAGGCCCCCAGGAAAAAGCTCCTGGTCACTGCCTGTCACAAGGCACCTCCAGCCAGCCCAGCAGGGTGCTGTCACCCAGCAGCCCTTGGGCCCCAGGAGGGGTCTGAATCCCACAACTCATGCATGACTGAACTGCAGTGAAGAGCTCCCTGAAGCCCCCCAGGCCTGGCCCGAGCTCAGCTTAGGACAAATGGGGTACGACAAGAACTGATTCCTGATGCTGTCCACTTAAAGCGTAGCAGGCCTACAAAACTGAGGGTCCTTTAAGGAAAGAAGCACCTTTGGAGATAACCACAGCCTATTTAATGTTGAAGCAAACTTGCATTTACTCAGGCGTACAAGACTTGCAATGTCCATAAGCAAAACATGACTTCACTTCCCTAGGATCTTACTCAGCAAAAATCAACTTTCCTTCCTAAACACACAGGGTCTCAGACGTCATAGACACCTGCAGTGATCAGGGTGCGAACTGCAGATGGGGGCACACGTGGGGCCACAGAGCAGGCTGGCCTCTTCTGAAGTTATGACGCACTCTTTCCCATCTGGTGCAGACAAACTGAATTCCAGACTGTTTATTCTCACCAAAGAGACATTATGTACGCCAACTTTTGACAAAAATTTCAGTGGTATCTCCAAAAATGACTTTTTTTTTTCTGCCAAAAGTCAAGTACTTGAATAGGAGTAGAAGTAACTTACAGTGGTGAACACATGTCATGCTACACTAAGCTCTCGATTTCTCCCATGTAGGGACTTCCCTCATGTGCCTGCAGATCACTGTTTCTGCCCATCTCTGAGGCAGCTGTTGTCTGCAGGAGGTGAGGGGCCGGTGTTTCCAGGAAGCACCATGGGTACACCAGTCAGTGAGAATCACGTGCCCTCCTCTGAATTGAGCTGCAGTGGGGTGCTCTCCACTTCCCTTTCATTTCAGCTTTCTTGAGATACAACATGGATACTTAATAAGGTCCAGATTTTACAACGTTTGCTTTAGTTTGACCATGAATGTGAAGATCCACCCCCCATTTGAACCAACTCAAACATTTTCTGTTTTCTATTGTGACGAACAAAATAAACCTAAGAGTTCCAACAGAATAATTCTATAATGACAAATAATTCCTATTTTAGGAAAATGCAAATATCTTTATTCTAGTCTATCCTTTCCTTTCAGATCTAGGGAAGGGCAAGCAGGAACAAGGCTCAGCCACTCCAAATGCCAGGGCAGGGCCAGGAAGAGACAAATCCTTGAGCAACACCCAAGGGGGTGGCATGTCAAGCATCTCAGCAGCAATGCACTCTATGCATCCTGTGCCCTTAGGACTGTCACCGTGCTGTGGCAGGCATTCATTTAAACATGAGGCCTTTACAGAGTAAGGCTGCTGCATGGTGGGTATAAGCAGTGGGAGTTGTGTGCTGGGGTTCCCAATGGTGCAAAATCATCACTCTGGGTAGGAGGCAGTGGTGCACGCTGTAACCCCAGCAGCTTGGGAGTCTGAGCCAGGAGGAATGAAAGTTCAAGGCCAGCCTGCAGCTGGGGAGATGCTATCTCAAGCCATTCACTTCAAATGAAGGAAGGTAAGGTGAAGTGAAGGGCGGGGCTGGCACACCCTGCGTGCAGCCTGGAAGGTGGTGGGGTGATACCTCCCATAGTATCCTGGATAAACCACAGGCCCAGACCTGCTCAGCACAACAGTAACCAATGAATTCTTAAAATGAAAGGAAGAGCCTCTGAGATGAGAAGTAGCAACTATGAGAGACAAGCTTCCGTGACTTATGCCTGTGAGTTTTTTGTTGTGTGTGGTGCTGGGGACTGAACCAGTGCCTCATGCATGCCGGGTAAGTGCTCTACCCTTGAGCCATATCCCCAGCCCCTGTGCCTACAATTTTAAAAAAGCATATACAGAAGGGATTTTTTCAAAAAGGTGAACCATCCATGAACTTGAAGCAAATCCTGTGCTGATGGGGAGATGGCCTCCAGCTCAGCTATCAAGAGTTTCCTATTACTATTCCRTGGGCTTTCCTCCTCCCCTCACAAGTGACTGCGCGCCACCGCTTACCGCCTCTCAGGTTCATGAGCATTCACATTAGCCAACTATTTTATGCCAGACTTCATGAAAATCTTCTGCTTTAGAATTTTAGACTCTTTGAAGTACATGTATATTAACACTGGAAACAAGATGTTCAATTCTTTATCGACCTTTAGAACACTCAAATGTCAACTCCACTGGCTATTCCAACTAATTTTGGTACCTTCCTACTGCAAGTTCTCCACAGATGTGTGACAAACACTGAATTAATCTTTTATTTTGGGGATTATTTTTTTTTAATTTGGCAGTGGTGGGAATCAATCCAGGGTCTCAGGCATACTAGGCAAATGCTCCACAATAGAGCCCCATCCCCAGCTTTGATYTTTGTAAGTAAGCCACAATGGGAGATCCCATAACAACATCTTCTTCATCAGTTCTTGAAGATTTCATCATCTTCTCTTGAAAATACAGCCCCCAAGAGAACACCACAGAGCAGACTCCACTAGGAAGGAGTGGCCCCAGGCCCCAGCCAAGACCAGCCTCTTGCAGACCGCATGGGAGGGTCTGTCAGCAGAGTGCTATGTGTAGCTGGAGCACCAGAGTTCAGGGTCAGCTGAGAAGGCCAACTGTAGAACTAGGAATGTAGCAATGCTTTTTACCTGTCGCTTAAAAAGACCCCGTTGTAACACATTTAACCTTGTAACATCCACATCAGGGCTGACAAACTGTTCTGCAGGGGCCAGGTACCAAGTGTCCTGGGTGACTGGGTCCACAAGGCTCAGCCTCATGGATCCACTTTGCATGCTCAGTGCCACAGCAGCCCCAGGAAACTGCTATGCTCCAGGTTGGCCGCCTTTTGCCAAACCAGGGGGAGGGGGTATTGGAAGTCCTACCCTCTCTGTTCTAGATCAAGCACAGACAATCACAATGTGATATGAAATAAAGGCATCACATACTTGTTTCACCAGAAAAACAACGACCAAAAGACTCTGTAAGCTCAGGATCACCAAAGAAAATTCACTGGCAATCTCTTGATGCTGCTTCTTTTAACCAAAAGCTATTAGTAACTCTGAAAAAGTTTAAATAATTTGAGGAAACCCTACCACCCAACAGAAGATGGGACCAGGGCCTACCTTCTTCTCCAGGGAGTTGCTCCACTCCTTCAGCAAGTTGACATGCTGCACGGCGGAGCTGGCCTCATGCGCCTTGATCTGCTGGTTCGTCCCCTGTGAGAGCAAAGGCATGTTGTGTGAAGTAATCACCCCACTGCGAAAGGCAGATGACTGACATATGACTCCAGGAGCAGCATCACACACAGGGGGCTATTCATGTACAGCTGCCACAGAATCTGAGCCCCACGAGAGCCACGCCCAGGGCAGCCAGGCGAGCACGTGCAGCCAGGAGGCCGCGGCAGAGAGTGCCAGAACACACAGCACGCGGTGCTGCAGGGCTGAYTGCAAGCCCAGGCTCCTTCCTCAACCTCATCTGAGTGGCTTCTTATCAACAGTTCACACTGGTAATGTCAAAAAATTAAATTTTAAACTCATTCTTGTTCCTTTATAAATTGCCTTTCTCATAAAAAATAAAAATAACATGGAAAATGTTCAGACACCTGAAGCTGCAGCGAGATGCTGCGGTGGCAATCCTGCAAAATGCAGCAAAGCGGGGTTCTGAACAACTTCCCTGGGTTCACTGATCAGCTCAAACACACTGCATCCAAAAAGGCACTGCTCCTCACCAGTCCAAGTCTAACTGGAAATTACATACAAAACATGAACAATCTACAGAGTACATAAGATGCAGACCATCTGAGAGTCAAGAAGAGGCACACTGAATAGTACTTTATATATTTAAGAAAATAATTGGCATGAAAATAGAATTTGTTTTGATATTGGAAAATCAAGAAGCCAGAGAAAACATTTTCATGATCTCCAAAACATATACTCTGTACATAGAATATCCATATATATATATTGATATAAGTTCTTCTCCATATCAACATATATATACACATACACAGAGAATGGATGGTACTACGTACGACATACAGGGGTCTCTCCTCAGAGCCTGAAGCAAGGGGCAGCTAGTCATTCTCACTCTCAGCTTCCTACTTCCTCAGAAAACACCCCGAGGCCCGTGTCTCTGTACTGACGTCATCACAATGTACTGGTGATACATAAGAGTGAATGTGCAAGACTTCCACTGTGATATATTTTGCCTTTTGACATTTTCRTGAATATCATTTAAATGAAAACTTAGTCTTAATTCACTAGCAATCTCAGACATGTTAAAAAAAAAAAAAAGAGCCAGAAGCCCGCTGTGGGTTTCCTGCACGTGTGGCAGCAACACTGTYTTCTGGGAGGCGTTTCCTACGGGCTGTGCTCAGTTTGGATCTGTCCTGGTGGGGGTCAGAGTCAGTACAGGTGTGTACCTGAATGCATCTAGGGACTTGTGTGTGATCCGTACAGCCAACTAACGGCACATGTGATGTGGAAACCACATCCATTTGATACTCGTTCATGTTCAACTGACTGCTAAAACTYCCACAGAACCCACCAAATGCCATTCCCATCTGTCCCATCACTGGCTGGCTTCAGATGTGGTTCTCCTAATGCACTGAYGCCCCCCTCAGCAGTGTCCACCTGAGGTCTCAGAGCACCACCGACCAGGCAAGAGAGTACCCACGCCTGCTGCATGTGGCTTTTGTCACCCATGCAACAGGGCGTTTTCGTTTCATGACAAGGACCAAGAGTCCAGAACTTGCATGTTAAAATGTTAATTTAAGAACTTTCTCTCACGGCAGAATGTCAGTGACTGGAAGGACAAATGTCGGATACTGACCTGAAAAACGCAGCCATAGCGCTTAAAGCTACAGGTGCTGGGGGCATTGACACACTCTGACAAGTGTGCACTCAACTGTAACGGGAAAGAGACGTGAGTTGTGGCACAAACGTTTGCATGAAAATGCTTAAACACATTAGGGCCCAGAGAGTCTCTGGGCCATATTAAGAAGGCTGTTTTATCAGCTAAGGTGTGGACGCACCATCTGTGCGCTACACTCCAGGCAGCAGATATATAGCATTGTCACGTGTATGCACATATACACACCAATATACAGAAATACATTCACTGTAACATTTCTTAAACTTGCAGTTTCTTTAGAACAAAATTGTTCAAAATGTGATATGCTGTCTGAAGTGCCAGAATTTAAAAAGGAAAGGAAAAAAAAAAAGTAAACTGAAATGCACATTTAAAGACTATAAACAAAAATTGCATGAAACACAAAAAAAAAAAAAAAAAGAAAGAAAAAAGAAAGAAGGCATTCAGGATGCAACTGGGTCACACATCTAATATACAGTACACAAAATAAACCCATTCCAATGAAGCTCACACTGCACCATTACTGCAAGACTCGGGTAACTAGAGACGAGCTTCCCCACTGCCTGAAGACTGCTCCCTGGCATGGCCAGAAACTCACCAACTTTTCAAAAACCTCTAAGGCCATCTGAACAACATGAATCTTATGTTGTCATCTCTAACCAAAGGAAGGAAAAATTAGGAGGGGTTGGGGAAAGCTAATCCTGAAAGAAAAAAAAAAAAAAAAAAAACTCCCATTCAGCCCCAGTATTGGTGAGGCAGCTATTAAAAAGAACGTATTTGAAACTGTCTTATTTGTAAGACATAGACTTATGCACTAGGCCAATGCGACCAGGCCTGGAACGTGCTCTTCCGTATGCTGGCACCCCATGTTGTTATGTCAGGGGGTGCGAGTAGGGCCCAGGGCTCCTCGATCCACCAGGACAAAGGCAYACCAGGTGGATATTTTGGACAGGGGGGAAAAATGGATCTCCGCCTGCTATGTTCTCTGATGAGAGCTATAGAGGAAGGCCCCAGGAATGCTGGGAGGCCCATGTGGCTCCTGTTACCAACAAACATTGAGAATGRTCTATGAGGTAGGCAGAGTCCTTGTGGTTAAGGATCACACCCTTGCCCTGGACCCAGCAGGAAGCCCTGGGCTGGACTTGGAGGGAAGCATCCAAAGGCACCTGCACGTGGTGGGCATGGAGACATGCATGCATAGGAGGCTGCTCTGGCAATGTTAGTTCAAACCTTAAAAGGTTCTTTCAGGGCCACTGATAGGATCAGGAACATACCCAGCTAGTGCTTCCAATGCTGACATCAGGGACACACTGCATCTGACAGGCTATCTTCAATGTACTACTATAAATTCAGTGTTGTATCTTTTCCTAAATTGGTTTTATTCATAGTATTCTGAGTCTCAGAGTCCTACAGACTTTACAGGAGCTTTGAAACAGAGGTAAGAATAACAGCCCAACAGCTCTTTTCACCAGAAACCAAGAGAAATCCAAGTTCAAAGATTTTTTTAGAAAAATAACTTAGAGGCAAAAGAGGCAATTTTTGACCCTTATTCAGAGAGCCCTGGGTGAAATTCAGAGAGTGCTCATAAAAGCCTGGTAACTGTTTCAGCAGCACAGACTTTTCTCTATTAGTCTTAACAGAACTGTCCCATTGTGTATGTGATGCAAATGCACTTTACAGCTCCTCCCACAGGCACATTCAGAGGCCCAGAGACTTCTGTCACCAGGCAAGACCTTCACCCATCAAGGTCCTGGGAAAATGCAGCTTGGTTGAGTGTGGCTCTTGGGGTCTTCCCCACACTCTGTTCCCAGCCTTGCTTGGTAGGGACATATGCAGCTRCCCTCTCCTCCAGATCCAGTGGTAGGATTTCAGGCTGCTGGAAAAGGCTGCGTGAGCAGGCTGCTCCGATCAGAGACAGGGAGCCCAGGGAGGGGGTCATCTCTGAGGCTGCCAAGAGCAACCACCAGGATAGATCAGTCACATGCAAAAAATATTCACAATCCATGGAATTCTTCCATCTGGATATATCCTGATCAGATGAAGTTAACACAAAATCTACCGGTCTCAAAGAAGGCGCCATGGGCAGTGTGAGACGCACAGTCTGTGGGCAAGCTTCCACCCCACACTTTGTACCCAGGGCTGCCTCTGCCCAGTAGGGTGGTCAAAATGGCTCTGGAATGTCTCTAAGCTAATTTGCTTTCTAGGGATAATGTAATGATTCCCTATTTTGTAGTTTTAAACACAGTGCTTTTTGAAACTTCAAGTGCCACCTTTGCTTCCTGGTAGATGAAGCTYCCCATTCTCTCAATTCTTAACAAAACGTTAACCCTGAATTTACTTTCTGGGCTTTTCTTTCCTTGCTTTTCTGCCACATGCTCATTGAAGAGCAAAGACCTAACAAACCCCAGACTGGGTGGCACAGCTGTACCTTACCTCGCTCCTCAGAAGAGTCTGGACACTGCACTTGTGAGGACAGGAGACCACCACGCAGGGACACTCAGTGTCTTCATGTTTCTACAGAGTAGAACAAAGCACATCAGCCTTGAGACACACAGCCAGTCCTCCTTTAGGCCCCACCTCAATTCCTAGGTGGACACAAAGCACTTGTTCTGCTCCATCCTCAGCTCTGCAAGTTACCTCCCTGGTGTGAGGTCTCAGGTCCCCAGGCACGGAGCAGACTCTGACAAGGAAAGGAAGCTTGTGGAAAACAACTACACAGGTGTTTTCCCCATGTCACACTGCTCCAGGCTCATGCAGCTCCACAAGTGGTGCCTGCTCRTGCACCCTATTCAGCACCCGCCCCAGGCCTCAGCTTGGGGTCTGGACATGATGTTTCTCAGACATGTGGACATGGCATCACATCCTGGGTTCTAAGCTACTGTTCTGAAATATCACACAGATTTCCCTCAGTGTGTGGGAGAGATGGTCAATTCCAGCTTTGCCTTTCTCTGACTGGTGTACACTGCAGCTCTGCAGAGACTGAATGACGGTGCTTGTTAAACCTGACGCCAGGATACTTGCTGGACGCCTGCCAGAGCACCTCCCCTACGCACAGGAAGGGCAGGACTCTGCTGAGGATACCAAACCCAATGCACAACAAAAGCAGAGCCAGAGATGGAAGTGTCCTCTAAACAACACTGCTGAGCAAGGAACCTAGGCAGAGTTTCTGCAGCAGCCCTGGGCTCTGTGGTCCTCACAGGTCTGTGGGAGGCCTCCTTTGGCCTCAAAGTGCTGCTGTTATTTAGGTGCATGAATGGGGAGGGCACCTGTCCCAGCCTCAGTGTGTCAGAGCCAAGGAAGTGGCCCACACAAGGGAAGTATGTGCCTGGACCTAGGAGGCTCTGCTCCTCTGAGGAAGGCCTGGGCCAAGCAGCAGACTCAACTTTATTTGGTGTGTTTCTAAGGCTCTTGACCCTCTGAGCATGCATGGTGGGCCTGCAGTGCAGAGGGGGAAACCCATGAGGTATAGGCTATTCTGCTCCTGATCCCGGGCCTTGAAGCCTGCAGAGTGCAAGTCCAACRCCATCCCAAGCTCATTAGTAGGCCTTAGTAGGGTAAAGCCTGAGCAGACTTTCCTCAGAGAGAGCACTGCATGGGGACCTCAGCACCAGGTTGAGGACACCCACGCTGCTGGCTGGGTGGATCCCAAGTTCCCAGGGACCTTGAGGTAAAGGCTTTTTGTGGATTCCAATGGTCTCACCAATATGATCTCAATCCTTCATAAGTAAACGGGGAATGATCAGCCCACTTTCCCAGGGTGCTGCGGGCCGAATCAGTGCAGGCCYGCAGAGCTGAGTGCTGGCTCTGAAACAGGTGAAGGCTCCACAGAGACTTGGCCCTCTCCCTGGACCTGGGGGCTCACAACCTGATTCACCCTGCTGGTGCCCAGATCACACAGGACAGTGCTGAGGGAAGTTTAGGGTGGTGCTAGGACAGAGTCCAAGGACAGCAGGGCTGGAGGCCAGAGGGGCAACACCTTGGCATACTTTTTAAAGTCTACGCAAGGCTATCTGCCAACTTCCAGATGCACAACTGCGAGAGTAAATCACTGCTGTTTCAAGATCCCAACTCTGTAGTGATTTGCTACATTAGCCAAGTACTGCAAAGTAAAAAGACCTGTCAATCTTCTTTAATTTTGAGTACTCTTTGCATATTAATGAATCAGTCTTGTTTATAAAAGAAAATGCAACTTCGAGATGGACACCCATGAGGCCACCACCTAGGTAAAATATGTCCACCTTCCACCTTCCTGTTCCTCCTCCCCACCTCAGCCTCAATTTCCTCTAAGAGAGACCCTAGGCCACAAGCCTGCATTTTCTATCCTATTTCCTAGCAAAGTTTTGTTACACAAACAAGTTTTGTTATAAAACACTGCTTGATTTTGACTGTTTTTGAATCTTATTAAAATGGAACTCTGGACAGGAGTCCCATGTGGTGGGCTGTGTCCTGCTTCTGTGACTGACCCACAAACTGCACAGAGTTTGCAGGTCCCTTATGTCCACTGTCTCGTCGCATRCTGCACGGCTCTATGATGAAGCTGTGACAGGTTTTCACTGCCTTGTCACACACTGCAGGGATCCCACACTGAGGTGCTCTCATCCTCTAGCAGGGGCTCAGACTGCTACCGGATTCTGTTGCTCTGGTCACAGCTCGCCACACTTCCTGGTGTGCGTATGCAACAATCCTGTCTGTGTACCCAGGAAGGGCACTGCCAGCTGACTTAGCATGAATGTTCAACCTGATAAAACCCTACCAGCTGCTTTCCAAAGTGGCCTTGCACAAACTGCCACCAGAATATATTTATTTTTCCACACAACGAGGTCTTTACAATCCTGACTTTCCACAAATTAATTGAGCTGTTTAAAGACACATAATAATTTCTAGAATAAGAGAACACAGTTTTTCTGACACTTTAAATAGTGCTGATTAAATATGGCAAATAAAGGGCTGAGGATATAGCCCTTTGGTTGGTACAATGCCTGCCTCGCATGCACAAAGCCCTGGGTTCGATCCCCAGTACCAYACACACACATAAAAAGGCAAATAAAACTTGGAAATAGGGGGCTGAGGTTGTGGCTCAGTAGTAGTGCGCTCGCCTAGCATGTTCAAGGCACTGGGTTCGATCCTCAGCACCCCATAAAAATAAAAACAAATAAAAATAAAGGTACTGTATCCAACTACAACTAAAAAAAAATTAGAAATAGCTGATACCCTGTCCCACAGTTTAAACATAGAACAGAAATCCTCAGAACACTGCAATGATCCAGAGCTTCAATGCTTTACTGATGCACACTGGGCCAACATTTGATATAGTTACACACCACAAAAAGGAAACAGAGCCAGGTGTGGTGGCTCGTGCCTGTAATCTTAATGACTCAGGAGGCCGAGGTAGGAGGACTATAAATTTAAGGCAATTTAGCAATAAATTAAATAAAATAAAGGGCTGGGGTCACTTCTCAGTGACAGAGTGCCCCTGGGTTCAGTCTCCAGGATTACTTCAAAACAAACAAAAACAGGAAATAGGATGGCTGAGGCTTTCKGTCTGCATACATTAGATAGCTGCTCTTTTTAAAAATAGACTTAAGGCCTGAGAGGATGAGATTAAATGTGTTAGAGGATGAGATTAAGAGTGTTAGAGGGGAAAGACCAAAGGATCTAGGAATCCAGTCAGGCCACTGAAGGGAGAGGCGGCCCAGGGCAAGTCCCAGCACCTTCCTAGGCGTGTGAAAAAGTCCCTGTGCACAGTACTGCGCAGGTGCAGGAAGGGCGGGCACCCGAAGTGACCTTGAACACATGGGCTCCTCAGAACCTCTACTGGCTCGGGGGAAGCATGGCAGACTTGGAGATGGACTCTAGGACCCATGCTGCTGAAACAGCACGCCCAGACCTTCCTTCCATCACAAGAGAGTACTAAGACCTCTGTCACCTCTTCACATAATTCAGGCCCCAATCATGCTAACAATCGCTCCACGCCTGATCACCCTGTCTGTGGCTGATGAATTCAAGAGCCAGGTCAAAACACATGCCACCTGCTCACTGAAGCCTTCCTTCCCTGTCGGCTATAGTCATGGTGCTACCCTCGCTAGGGGAACCAAAGAGTGTCCTTGGCCGTCTGCCTCCCAGAGTGCATCCAGAAGGAGTAAGACTATCCATTATTCTCACGTATGACCCAAGGGAGGAACACAGGGTGTGGGCCCGACAGGCCCTCCAGGGAATCGGGGATTGAGCCCAGGGGCATTTACCACTGAGCCACATCTCCAGCCCCCCCCCCCCCAACTATTTCTGTATTTATATTTAAAGACAGGGTCTCGTTGAGTTGCTTAGGGCCTCACTAAGTTACTGAGGCTGGCTTTGATCGTGTGGTCCTCCTGCCTCTGCCTCTAGRGCAACTGGAATTACAGGCATGGGCCACTGTGCCCGGATGCCATGCCAGATCTTAGCAGCTGATGTCGCCTTGTCTGTGACCATTCAGTTAAATATTTGGTGTTTAACTGACAGGCTCTACAATTCCTTCTCAAACAAAAATTAATTGCTGGATTCTATGTTCCAAATAATTGATTTTTSCAAGAAGCCAAGTGTAACTTCAATAGCAATATATTAACAAGTGTAAGGCCTGAGGTGCTATTCATTAGGTACGTCTCACTCACTGGAAGGTCACTCTTGGAGGAACTGCTCACTTACAACAAGTAATACTGCTATTTCCCAACTTGCCTAAACATTCTCAGTAGCTGAGAAATCTATGGTATCTCATAAGAGAAAAAGAATTCCCAGTGCAGGAGAGGCCGAGGCCCAGGATGGTGAYAGGAGGTAAATTACACACAGATGGTAAAGCAGAACACATTTCATTTTATAGGGAAAAATCTAGGGCAAGAAAACTTTCTCTAAGTTATAGCTACTGAGTGCTCCAGAATATTCACACAACAAGCTCTCTGGGGGCCCTCATGCCCTGGCCACGGCTTCCTCTGCCTTGGGGATGCCACTCTACCCTTCCTTAAGTCTACTCCTCTGCTGATGACCACCCCTCGTTGACAATCTGGAAGGTGTGCCCAGGCCTCTGTGAACTCTGGCCCTACTCACAGTGCCACAGCCGCAAGGAGCACCAATCACAAGTCTGCAGCCTGGATCACTTCACTCCACTGCTCTGCCCCCGAGCCTATTACCTCTATTGCACTGCAGTCAAGGGACACCCCAGTCCACTAGCTGATCCTGCCACAAGGGCTGGCCTCATCCTTGCCCCAAACTCAGCTAAGCCATTGGTTGATCCTATTGCCCCACCTTCAAGACATACTGCAGTACCACTGTGCCCCTACTGCCTGCACACCTGCCTCCCCAGCTCAGGGCAACCCTGTGCCTTTCCCTCATCCTGGTGTTCCAGGCAGTTCCTGAAACCCAYGTGCCATCTCAGATTCAGACCCCAGTGCTCCCAAGCAGGCCTCTCTACACAAACCACCCAACTGCCTGGGAAGCCAGCCCTCGCCATCCSTGGCCTTACGCCAGGTAAGCTGCCTTCACAGTTGTGTATTATTCTCTCTTCAAACAAGAGGGTGAGCTGCCTGAGGATGCACTGTCTCTTGGAAGGGTCCTGGCAAACCGTGGGCACACAGCAAGCCTTTGCTCAGTGAATGGACAGATTTAAAGTCTATCCTCTCCACTCAACAGCTCTCCTTTCTCTTTAATTTATACAGAAGTGACATGATTCCAGCACACAGTACAGAATCATGCCAAATCAACCAGAGCAGGAAAACATTTTAAATTCTCCTCTCTCCAAAGCAGACAGCTGAGCTTCAGCACTGCAGGACAAACCAGCCTGATGTGAGGAATGGTTATGTCATGCAGCTGTGAAAARATGAGCACCCCATCACAATTTTGAGGCCTTTCTCTAAGACACATTACAAATTCTATTGTTTTTGAACAATCATTCTTCATATTTTTGACACCCCAAATGATATTCAATCAAGGCAATAAAAATGTTAAATATATAAATCAAAATAGGCAAAACAAATATAGCTTTACTCTGAAATAAAGTTAGATGAAAAGTGCTATCTAGTCCTCCTCGCTCTCTAAGGCCATCAGAATCATCATTTAGAAAGCATTCTGCAGGGGGTGTGTCTGAACATACAGCGGGGAGAAACCAGCAATGCTGGGCTGTGAATGAACCATTTTGTCCCAAGTTTTAAGCTGGGTAACACTCTTTACAGTCTTCACGCACCTGCAGTGTGACCATCGGGACTTGGCTTTTGCAGTGATKACATGTGGCCTCACGGTATTTACATGCCTTTTCCACGTGATCGCGCAGGTCTTTTCTCAAGACTTTTTCTTTACAGTCGGCACGGACACAGGGAAGTTCCTCAAACTGGCAGTCATTTTTTAGATGCACCTGTAGGACAAACCACTCAAAAATTCTTAACTGGCAAAGAAAAAAAAATCAGTCTGAAATGCAGATTCTAACCTCTATGCAATGAAAACTCACAGAAAGCACCTTCGGCTCTTCAGGGTTAGTGGTGGCACTAACTGTCACTGAGGCACTCACTATGCTCAGGGTTCCTCCACATGCTGTGGAAGAGAGTTGACGCTTCCTCCCAGACAGAGATGGTTGGGTACCAGCTAAGAACTTCCCTTTATTTCAATCCAAACATCCTCCCAGGATGAAACAGGATACTAATTTTAAAAAGAACATGGAGGACTGGTGTTGTAGCTCAGTGGTAGAGCACTTGCCTAGCACGTGTGAGGCATTGGGCTGGATCCTCCACACTACAAAAAATAAACAAACAGGGCTGGGGATGTGGCTCAAGCGGTAGCGCGCTCGCCTGGCATGCGTGCGGCCCGGGTTCGATCCTCAGCACCACATACCAACAAAGATGTTGTGTCCGCCGAGAACTAAAAAAAAAAAAAAAAAAAAATTAAAAAAAAATAAACAAACAAAATAAAGGTATTGTGTCCACCTACAACTTAAAAAAAGTTAAAAAAAAAAAAAAAGAACACGGAAAAAATCCATGTGGAATTTCATTATGAAAAAAGGTTTCATGTACCTTGCAAAATTAAAATCCAACCTAAATCCTCCTGCTAGGGCAGGAGGATTCCAAGTTTGAGGCCAGCCTTACCATCTTTAGCAAGACTCAGTCTCAAAATAAAAAATAAAAAGGGAGGGGACAGAGCTCAGTGGTAGAGCACCCATGGGTTTAATTTCTGGTACCACCAAAAAAAAAAAAAAAAAAAAAATCCAACTCAGGCTTTCAGGTTTCTCTCTATTCTAATTAAAGTAGGCATGCCAACAACTCTACCAATGGTATCATAAAAATAACACTGTATGCCCCAGAGGTCAGACCATTTTCCTAGAGACTGTGTGTTTTAATACATGTTTATGGTACAAGGTATTGGGACATTTTCATCCATGCATATATTATGCTTTTTTAAAAAAATATTTTTTAGTTGTCAGTAAATCTTCTCACATATGCCAGGCAAGTGCTCTACCACTGAACCACAGCTCCAGTCCGCCCATATCACTCCTGATCATCATCCACCTTTCTTCTATCCTCCCCAAGACAGTGATTTAAAAACTTTTATTTATTTATTTTTTGCTACTGGCAACTGAACCCAGGGGAGCTCTACCACTGAACCACATTCCCAGCCCTTTTTACATTTTATTTAGAGACAGGGTCTYGCTAAGTTACTTAGGGTCTCAATAAGTCCCTGAGGCTGGCTTTGAAATTGGATCCTCCTGCCTCAGCTTCTTGAGTCACTGGGATTGCAGAGAGGGACCTGAATTCCTCAGCAGGAAATTGTCTGGTGCCACAGGCACCTACCAGCAGCTGACCCAGGGTTAACTGCTCTGCACATCCTCTGCTCTCGTTCCGACAGTAGATCTGAAGGGCTAGGATCTCTCTCTTGCAGCAGTTGTCTTTAAACACCTAAAAATGAAAGATGGTTATTTTAGAGGATTAATATTTCTGAATCTCCACATGCTACTGTTTTGGACAAGGCAAACCACTCTTTAAAACTCGTGAGAGGGGCTGGGATTGTGGCTCAGTGGTAGAGCGCTTGCCTCACGTGTGAGGCACTGGGTTCAATTCTCAGCACCGCATGTAAATAAATGAGTAAAATAAAGATCCGTCACACTAAAAAATATTTTTAAAAAACCTCATGAGGGGCTGGGGATGTGGCTCAAACGGTAACGTGCTCGCCTGGCATTCGCCATTCGCGGGGCGTTGGGTTCAATCCTCAGCACCACATAAAATAAAATAAAGATGTTGTGTCCACCGAAAACTAAAAAATAAATATTAAAAAAAAAAACCTCATGAGAGCAACTCTGAAAGTAGACCTCAGAAAGTACAAAGGACGCTCTTAATTTCTACAAGTGGAATGAAAGAGCTGTACCAGCAAGAAACAGGGTTCAAGTCACACGCCCAATGACAACTATCTTCTAATAGATGAGCCCAAAGAAAAGGAATTACATTGAATTGTTCAAGGTCACTCTGAAGCACCCACCATCCTCCCTTTCATCTTTTATTTTCAGACAGTTGAGAACTTTTGACATAACTTTAGTTGTGGAGGGCTGGGCAGGCCCAAGCCAGGCYGCGCTCTGTGGGGTCACCTTCTAACAAAGGACTCCGCGGACAGGCTAGCGCATAGGTTGCTTGCTAGGAAACCAGGCCAATTACTGCATGGGACCATATTTTAGAATGATTTGTAAAACATTTATTTTGGTTTCTTTTCCTGAGTTTATGCTGCTTATAATTCATATTTATCCCAAAATGAAGCTTTTAAATACATAGCACAAAGGTCCATTAATAATGGAATATTTCTTTGAAAATAAAACCTGCCTGGATTTAATTTTATTTTCCCCTAGAAAACAAATGCTCTCCCTCTAACAGTCCACAGTATCTTTTTTTTTTTTAAAGAGAGAGTGAGAGAGGAGAGAGAGAGAGAGAGAGAGAGAGAGAGAGAGAGAGAGAATTTTTAATATTTATTTTTTAGTTCTCGGCAGACACAACATCTTTGTTGGTATGTGGTGCTGAGGATCGAACCCGGGTCGCACGCATGCCAGGCGAGCGCGCTACCGCTTGAGCCACATCCYCAGCCCCCCACAGTATCTTATCCTCAGAAAGATCCTGAGAAACTCCCCTCTGTCCACCCCAGGCTTGAAGGAGGGAAACAGGCTTTCAACAGACCTTTCCTAGCCCCCAGGCCAAGAGCAGATTTAGCAGCTTGAAAAAACTGATTTGGAGACAATCTAATCCCTCATAAACATGATTTTTAAAAAGGTCACGAATTAAGGTACAAAAGTCATCAAAACAGCTATTTTTCTATGCCACTAAGTTCCCTAAGTTGTTGGAGTCTAAGCTATTAACAAAAAAGCACTGATTGAAAACAACCAGAGTAGCCAAGTCAGAGTCTGCGGCGCTGAAAAGGTCTGAGATCACTGACTCCAAGGTCCCTTTTCCAGGTAAGAAGCCTGAAGGCCCACACCACGTGGGGACTGCTGGTTGCTCCAGGTCCCCTGGGGCCCCACTGGCTCTGCTCTGACCATGAGGACTTATGGCTTTACTCTGTCTTATTAATGATTCTTCGGTAAAACTAGTAATCTTTCCTTAGCTATCAATGTCACTGAAAAATAAAGATCATCATTCTGAATAACAAAAGAGACCAATAGCCCCCTTGACCTGTGATTCCAACCCCCTCAGTCATGCTTGTCAGGGGTGTGTGGGCACCTTCATGGTGAGCARGTCGAGTTCTGGTGATCACTGACCTAAGTCTTTAGCAGGGGAATGCTAAGAAAGGGCATGGGGGTGGTGGTGAGCCAGTTTTCTTTCCAAGCCTTCCAGAGCAGGTTCCAGTGAGTGCCCTGTCCCCAGGAGACCAGAGGCATCTGCTGCCAGTAGCCTCACACTTTACATTTACCTAGACTGCCCTGACTGACAAGTTCAACTTCTGCAAGTGCTTAAGACAGCAAAACCCCAGAGCAGGAATCTTACTGTACAATTTAATGACTTACATTAAAAACTTGTTAAGTTCATTGATCAAAATATTGGAACCACATACATTTTTATTGATCTTTAAGTGCTTTAAGAATGAGTCCTTTTAAATTAACCACAAGTGTGCCCGGCAGGGCTTGGCAGGGCGTGGATGGCTGCCTTAGGCCCCAGCGGGAAGCTGGTGGGTGAGCCAGTGGGTGAGCTAGGTGGCCCCTTGCACCCTAAGTGGGCAGGGACATCCAAGGGCTCTGCTGGCATGGACACTGCCTGGGAAGAGGACAGAGAACAACTCAAAGGAACCCCTCACACTAGCGCACATCTGAAGGTACCATCTAGCCTAAGGGCTGAGCATCAACTGACGACTGCAGGGGCAGACCACAGACGGCCCTCGACAGCACCTCACTCACACCAACTCCCTGACTCCTCATAAACCTCTGGGGTCTTAGCAGGTGACACTTTGCTGTTACAGCAAGATGGGCTCAGAGGTCAAAGTGCCTCACAGGGGACACCCAGGGATCTGATCCCCCTCCTCTGCCCAGGTGCTTACATGGTGCTGGGCCTCAAAGCCTGCTGMACCACCTGTTCAACCCGGGATGCAACTGAGCTCCAGAGCCTCCAGCGTACCAAATGCAGACCATGTGGGGAGGTGCCCAGCTTAAAACTCCTGACAAAACAGTTCATTCACAGCCCCAGAATACCTTGTCTTTAASGATGCTTTCTTGACACGCTGTACATTTTGGACTCGAGGAACTGGAGGAAACACAATAGTGACATTAGAACAGAGTCCCTTTCTCACTGGGCTCCCTGGACACGAGGACCCACCCCCTTTCTGGTCAGGCGCCAGCTTGGGCAACAGGCAGAGCATCAGGATGCCACGGGCAATCTGGTTGAAACACGAAGCCTCAGGAGAGAAGGGCAAAATTCTTTTTTAAATGGTAATTTTTCAAAAGGAAGCTATTAAGTACAACAGCTTAGTTCAATTCCCTTGGAAAGCCCCTCCTGAAGCACAGGAAAGCGCCATGTCCTAAGGGAAGGCCAACGTGCTGCTGCGGGAGGCTGGGTGCTCCTGCCCCGACACCAGCCAGTTCTTGCTCCACAGTGAACCTTCTCTGCTGCATGTTGAAAGGCCAGTGCCAGGTGGAGGGGAGCTGCCCTCCCTGTTTGCCACAGGCCTCTCCTGGGCCTGAGGTGCAGCTGGGCCCTGGGCCCCCGGCTGGGGGACATCAGTGCTGAGCCTGTGGTGCCATTGCTTTCGCCTTGCCCCCAGGTTGGGCAAAACCAAGCTGGCTACCTAGGTTAGGTGGGCAAGACCACAGTAGTAAGACAGGACGGGTGACAGCTGGTGGCGGGGAGACAGTCTGGCTGCTGGGCTCCCTGGGGCTGGGAGCAAGCACATCTGGGCAAGGCTCTGCCTGTACCATATGCTGACTCTACCTCCCTCCAGCATGCACAGTAGAGCACCTGTACACACACTTGCTGGTGCCCGTCTGCCCACAGAACACTGAGTGCCTCAAACACAACTGCCACAGAGGTGAGGACTCCATGGTTTTGTGGACAGAGTGGCCAACATCACCAAGGGAGGCTTCACAGGATGGAACTGGGGAGGATGCAGGGCAGGTGGGGCAGGTACAGGGTGACCTCAGAGACTCAGGCATGGGATCCCACGGACTTTCCCCCAAGGACTCACAAGCTGGGCAGAGACTCATTCACTGCCTCTGGGCTTGAAGCCGTCAAGGTTGGCTTTTACTTTCCAGAGAAATGAAATGGAAGGAAGGAGAGGTGGAAGAGCAGGGGCAGGCACAGCAGGCTGCTGGCAAGGCGCGGTACTTGGGGACCCACCTCAGCAGGGTGGCCATGCAGCTTTCGCAGAACCGGTGCCCACACTCGGTCTGCCTGGGGTTGCACAGCACCAGGCGGCACTTCTCACACTTGTACTTGTCCTCCACGGCCTTCACAAACTTCTCCTTATAGCCTCCTTGCTCGGGGACCAGCACAGACCCACTGCGGTCGGGCTGCAGCTTCAGCGGGGGGTTGGTCTGCAGTGCGCCCACGGAGTCCATCTTTTTACTCGACTCCATTTTAGGAAAGAGAAATTCTGCCAGGAAAAGACAATAGATCAGGAGAGCGCCACCCTGTCACCCCAGGCAGGGAAGGAGCAAACAGCTCTGGAAAAGCAAAAGTGCCCGAGAGACCCCTGCGATCCCTTCTGCCTGTCCCTACAGGCTGCGAATGGGACGAGACTAAATGGCTTCTTTCTGTGATGGTATTTCTATATGAATACCACCAGTACTACCACCAAAAATACTCCCTAGGGGTATACCGGGGAAACTATATTCTCAAGGTACTTTAAAATGTACACAGTACTCTGTTCTCTCATATTTCAAATCCTATGCATCTTTCCRATATTTAGGTCAAAGCAGTAGCCACTGTCAGTCAATTTTATATCCTGGTTAACTTTACAGCATGATTCCAGGTGTCTCTGTCACACCACGATGACACTGCAGTCAAGCCCAGGCCAGAACAGTATGACGCATCTCCAGGCAGTGCGGGCCATGACTGATGTGCTTCCAGAAGTCCAGCAACACTCCTAATAAAGGGAAGCCCCACCTCGTGCCCACTAGCCCTCAAGCTCTGCTTCTGCCCCCAACTGTGGCTTTACCAAGTCCTGTCACCCTGACTAAGCACTCTGCATTGCTGAGCGCTGGATGGGCCCCTCTGCAGGGCATTTTCTTTTTCTTTTCTTTTTCGTGGTACTAAGTATTGAACTCTAGGATGCTTTACTTCAGCTCCATCCCCAGACCTTTCTATTTTTTTTTTATATTTGGGGACAGGGTCTAAGTTGAAGATGCTGGCCTTGAACTTGCACACCTGCTTCAGCTCCTCCTGCTTCAGCCSGCTTACCTGCTGGGTGTGCTTGCTGTGCTCTGCCCCCAGGTTGCAAGGCATTTTCACACCAAGGCTGAGAGGTGTACATGGCAGGGGGCCCTTTGCACATGAGGCCAAGGGTCAGGTAGATACTAAGATGTCTAGCAACAGGGCTGGCAGATGGGACACTGAATTGCATGGGGTCTCCTGTGCCTCTGGGCAGGCTCTCCTAYTGCACCTGGCTCAAAGTTTCTCTGCAAGGATGACTGCCTCCCAACTGCAAGTCCATGCACTGGTAAAGTAAGCACTACTAAAAATGAGGCACAAAGTCTCTGTCCACTGAAACTGTGAGGTCAAGTAAACAAAAATTATCACAAAGCAGCTGCATAAAGTTCCTAAGGAAACATTAACTTAAATGACAATTATACTATGCATTAATGAATATGAGCCTAGCTGGGTGTGATGGCAGCGGTATGGGAGGCTGAGGCAGGAGGATCGCAAGTTCAAAGCCAGACTCAGCAAAAGTGAAGTGCTAAGCAACTCAGTAAGACTCTGTCTAAATAAAATACAAAATAGGGCTGGGGATGTGGCTCAGTGGAGCCTGAGTTTAATCCCTGGTACCTACCCCCCMAAAAAAAGAATAAATATAAATAAACTAACCATTCTGAATATTTGCTGATACATTTATCTAAAGCACATTTTAAATGTTTCCAGATGGTGGTATAAAGGCTGTTTTTTCTAATTTTCTGGATATTATACAATGAGTGTAGATAACAGTGTTGAGATAGATCTGTGCTTCACAAACTTTCTGAGGGAAGTTTCTGCCCAGATTCTCGCAACATTTGTTTACCGAGCTTCTGTTGGGCAGCTCTAGCTCATGGGCATATGTGTCCTTCCTGCCTCTGGGCTCAGCCAGCCCTACTCACCCACTTGCCCCAGTAAGGAAGGGAGGCCACAAGGGGACTGGTGATCACATGTGGACTAGGCATGCAGGCCCCAGGGGGAGATCCAGACCCAGATGCCTGGTGGAGCCTCTGCACTAAGATTYACTCTCCCAGCCCAATCCTCCTCCATCCTTTTCCATAACAGGGTAATATAGCTGTTGACCAATGAAGTGTCTTTCAAAATGAATTGGTTCCCTGGCAGGTGAGGTGGTGCACACCTGTAATCCCAGTGGCTTGGGAGGCTGAGGCAGGAGGATTCCAAGTTCAAGGTCAGCCTCAGCAATTTAGCAAGGACCTCAGCAAATTAAGGAAACCCTGTCTCAAAATAAAAAGGACAGGGAATGCAGCTCAGTGGTAGAGCACCCCGGGGCTCAATCCCCAGTGTGTGTGTGTGTGTGTGTGTGTGTGTGTATGTGTACACCAAACACCAAATTCTTTTTTGTTTGTTTTGGTACTGGAGAGTGCACCCAGGAGTACTTTACTACTAAGCTACATCCCTTTTGAGACAGGGTCTTACTAAGCTGCWGACACTGGCTTCAAACTTGTGATCCTCCTGCTCAGCCTACAGGCACTGGGATTACAGATGTGTGCCACAGTACCACACATGTGACAAATTTCACTCACAAGATCCTGGGCGTCCACCCCAGGCCCAAACCTCCTCTCTTCAGGGAGAGACTCAGAGGGGCCACCGTACACCTCAGACCAGCAGGGCAGACACAGGGATTCGAAAGGGAGCAGAGCCAGCTCCTCCCGCTCCTCTGAGCTCTGTTCTTGCACTGCTTCTTGCTGCCTCTTTCTGAGGCTCAGAGAATGAATGTTTTATGGCTGGGGAGGGATCAAACCACTGCCAACAGCACAACACCTGACAGATTCATGATGTGGTGGTAAGGCCACACCTAGSTTAGCTTTAATAAAATACAATGTGGCTATGGAAAAGTGTGGGCACCTGTGTGAAATCTGGGGACTTGTGAAAACAAAAGAAGTTTTCAAGATGACCTCAAAGGGTCAGTGACTCTGCTTGCAACCAGAATCCCGTCCATTTGGATGCCTGCTAATCTTTCCTAACTAAGTGAAGAAAGGATTCAGGGCTAACTGCATCCAATGAAAGGGTTGGCCGGACCCAACCTGCTTCCCACTACCTGCCCCTCAGATACTTTAGCTTCCCAGCCCTGGCCTCTGACAGGGTATTGATAAACTGCCCAGGCTTGGGGCTGGGGTTTGGCTCAGTGGTAGAGCACCRGTCTGGCATGTGTGAGACACTGGGTTCGATTCTCAGCACTGCATATAAATAAATAAAATAAAGGTCCATTGACAGGTAAAAAATATTTATTTAAAAAATAAAAATTGCCCAGGCTGGCCTGGACTTGTGATTCTCTTGGCTCAGTCTTCTGAATAGTGGGGATTACAGGTGTGTGACCTGCACCTGGCTTATAAATTGCTTTTTGTTGAAATTACATTGCACTCATGATGGTTGTCTTCTGGGTTTTGCTACATATTTCAATGTTATTTTTCACATGCAAATAGTGTGAAGAGATTTTCCTACATGAGAAAATACTGGTTATACAAGATGACACATCACGTGAATTAACAGCTTTTGTAATTGAGAAGCTAACAACTGCCTAGCTACATTTCTCCCCCCAAAACACAAACTGAGTCTCCAGTGGCAATATATTCAAAGCTAAAGAGACAAAACAAAAGACCGAGTCTACACCATATCAAGGGAGCCCTGCCTCACTCACACCAGCGCCACTTTTGGAGCCGGACAACATCCTGACTGTGTTCCTCAGAACACCGACTTTAAGAGCCATGGTTCAGGCTCCAGCTCCCTGAGCCAAGGTGAGCTACTAGGGGCAGGGTGGAGAGGTTGAGAAGCAGGGGAGGCCGAGTGAGGAGAGGTGCTCCAACTGCTGAGGTACGGCTCACCATGATGGACGCCCAGCTCTGCTCAGGCCAAGCTGGCTGTTCCTGGTGTGGTCTGGGAAGGACCGTCCTGAGGTCAGCCTTCCTGAACACAGGTCTGCTCATTTGGGTAAGCACACAGCAACAGAGCTGCCGGAGACACGCTGACGTGTGTTTTAAGATACCAGATTCACTGCTAACCTGTCTTTGAACAGGATGGGCCAAAGGGTGTTTATTTCCTCCACCAGCCAGGGAATGACTGAACACTAGTTGGAGGGCAATGGCCTCGACAAAACGCCAGGAGCCCCCACTTGACCTTGGCCTCCCCACATTTCTGGGGAGTGCTGTGCTCCACACTGCTAAGCACAGGGTCCTCGGGTGCACGCCCACCCAAAAAGCCCTGTGAGCAGGACAGTGCTCCAGGGCACCACCAGGCCCCGTGCAGCCCACAAGCAGGCCCTCGTCAGGTCAGGACTCTGCAGAGGCTGGCCTCAACCACCGCCCTCATTTCAATGCCTACTATGGGGGCAGCAATGTACACACCTCTGTGCCTACTGTGTCAGGGGACACAGGGAGGACGGAAACTGAACCTGTCCTCAGAGAGCTTTGAGGGGATGGGGAGGGTGGGTGGAGAGGAGGGGCCTCCAAGGTCAATAACTGAGTGTGAGCACTGTACCAGACACACAGGGTGTCTCTTCAAAAGAGGAAGCCCCCACCTCTGCTTTGGAGCATCCTGGGAGTTTCCAAGTTGGGCTGATGGCTTAATTCCAATTTTCCAATTCCAGCAGAGGAAGAGGAAGATGTCAGAGACACCCGCCAGCAGGTGGCTATGGATGGGACCTGGGGTTTACTTTGGTACTGGGGATTGAACCCAGGCAAGCTCTCCCACTGAGCTTACATCCCAGGCCCTTTTCACTTTGAGATAGAGCTTCGCTAAATTGCCGAGCCTGGCCTGGAACTAGCAATCCTCCTGCCACAGCCTTCTGAGTTGCTGGGTTTACGGGTGTGCACCACCTCCCGAGGCTTGGGATTGGGGTTTCTTGGGAAGATGACATGATTGCAGATAAGACCCAGGTGGGTTGAGTGGTGCCAGGGCAGGATTTGGTCCACATTGGGGAGCCATCCAGACAAGGCAGCTGGCTGTGAGCAGGCCTGGGTGGGAAGATGGCCTACTGTCACTTCTGTCTGGCACAGCACTTATCCTCTGAGCCTTACTTTTTCATGGAAAAGCAGACACTACCTAATTCTCACAGAATTATCAGACATCACTAGGATAACACATGCAGAATCCCCTCAAACTCTTCCGCACCATACGATGCGAGTAAAAGATGGATCTCCCTATGAACTGGGGTCAGGAGTCTGTCACGGTTGGGGCTGGCTCCTCATC